ATATTTACGTATATACAAATACAAAACCACCACTTCATATTCAAATTGTATCTATGCAAACATTTTTTGATGAAACTAAGTTTTACCTCAGCAGGTCTCACTGATTTGTCATTACCCTAGAGGATATTAACATAGTTAAACCCTAAGTGTCCTTAATAAATATTAGTGCAGCAATGACAATTTGGTCAATTTTGATAATCAATTAATCATTTGTCACCAAAAAAACGTTTTATATCACAGTTATTTGAACATGTCCTTGTTTTGTAATAAGCACTGACAAAAGCTATTTGTAGATGTCAGGCTGAGCTCTAGGAAATTGTGATGTGAATTTTGCACAATTTTCTGACACTGTATTACCTGATGAAAGAAAAGATTGGAGATTGGATTAATCAGTAATAAAAATAAGTGTTAGTTGGAGCCATAATAAATACATGTACTAAGGGTTGTAATTTTGTTTTGAAAGGGAATTAAGAGTCCACCGACTTATAACTGCTTAATAGCTTAATAGCTGCAGGTACATTCTGTTGTATGCATGTAATTTCCAGAATTTTTCTTTCTTACAAATGACTTGAACTTTTATCGAGCCAGCACAGACTTATTAACCAGCACACACACACCTCTTTCTATCAGGTTAGTCAACCTGTCCTCGCTTGGCTCAATTAAAGGTTTAGTCTGTGTGTTTCTCAAGTGCCTCTGCAAACCAAATTAATATTTTCCATCACACGTAACGATGTCATAGCTCACTGACTTACATTGGCACTGCCAACAAAACAACAGGAGGCTGGAGACATTTACTGTCTTCAAGAAGGTGTTTGACTCATAATTTAACTGATAAGCTCCTGATTTGTTTTTTTTTTGTGTGTGTGTAACGTAACTGGCTTTTACACATTGGACACAAAATCTTTAGACAGGCACAAACACCAAGCTCAACTGTCAAAGGGAGTTGTGCACACCTTACAGCTGTGAGGTACGAAATATTCCAAATTATCAAATGAGTGAAATGTACACAGGGAAAGCTCTTTATTATCTAGGCTTTTTGTATTTGTTTCCTTCCTCTCATTTGTCTTGCTGTTATTACTGTTGGTATGTTTTTTTCACTTATTTAATTATTGTCTATAAATACAAACTGTCCTTTGGTTACAAATAATTATTAAACTGAGTTATATGTTAAATAAGCCGATCAATACAAATATATTCTGATCAAATAAATTTCACTAAGTCTCAATTTTCCCTCCGCAGCACTAACCTCTATCATCGCATATAATTTTTATTTCATGGACAGTTAATAGTTCCTCCTGGCACTTTATTATTGATGTTGTGTTTCATTGATGTTGTGCATTATTTTGCTGGAAACAACATTTTTTGGAAACTGCTTTATAAATATCATGTATTATTAGTATTGTGTGAAAATGTTGAGGAACAGTGGACTTCATGGAATCAATTTAATTTTTACTCTCTGAGATCCGACTGACATTTCTGTATGTATGCGTTATCACATGTAGCATGTGATCTTACACAAGCTCTCAGTGATTTACATGTTGTCAATGTTCTTGGTTAAGTTTGCCACATATAACAATATACTGTCAAATAAAAAACTGATGGCGATCCTGAGCCAGTGATGTCAGAATAGTCATATGAAGACTAATGAGGACACCTAGTGGTTGCTGTGTGTGGAGGACTACACACTGGGTTACTTTTCAGGACAGACTTCAATCCCATTAAAACCTCAACGTGTTCTTTTTCCCATTGCCTTAGTATCGTACACTTCACTGCAGACTTTATAGGTGACTATTAAAAGCTTGTAATTTCATCCTGCCAACTTATTTATCATCTTGAATTATGTCTGAAGCAACATAGCCCACAGACACTTCTCTCACCACTCCTGAAGCATAATCCACTACTGCTGTCCATATCTATGCTAAGATCATAGGCACAGCTACCAACGTAGCTATTGAAGGGGCAATGACACAGCAGTGTACTCAGTCACTTTTTAAAATATACCAAACTACAAACCTTTTACAACATTTAAGACCACAAGAGATAAGTGTTTGATTACATATCATTTTAAAGGATTCGTTTTAGCTCATTTGTGAGTGGCTGCTGGAAAATTAAATAGATTCTATAATAAATTTAACTTTACCTCCATTTAAATTCTCATCAGTCACCACTGTTGACTGTACATAATATATAATATAATTGCATGCTGCTGATGCACAGCTGCCAGTTACATCTAGCATTACCTTCAGATTAGTCACCAGGGAAAGCTGTCAGGAAAGTTTTTCTTTACTAACATAACTCTGAACAGAGAGGAGTTACTGACCTTATTGTGAACGAGCGTGACCCTCAAGTCAGGTTTAATAATGGCATAGGCCATCAGCAGGTCCTGCACCTTCTTCAATTCCTCCTTGCACTTCTTGGTGGAGGAATAGTACTGCCGTCTCACTGGAAGATTCTTGAAAAGCTTCAGTACGCTCACTGTTGTACCTGTAAAACACAAAGAACAGAGGTGTGCAACAACTTAACACATAAAATGGACTTTTCCTGTAACAAGGCTAAAGGACTCAGGTAGACTAAATCTGACTGGACATTGGACACAGTCTGTGTTATTCTGAAACTTGTCACAATAAACACCAATTTTGCCTCCATTATTTCACGCAACTCCTTTAAGAGTTGTGCGCCAGCAAATAGTTTGTATGTTTCAGCCCAGTTGTTTAACTTATGATTATTCATATTGCAATTAATTTAACAGGTATTGCAATTGTGAGAATGGTTATTTTTGCACTTCATTTTCACTGAAAAAAAGTATAAAAATGATAACGATGTTATTTTTGCTGAGGTCCGTACCAAACAAGCATGTTCCCTTACATCTGGCATATGATATGTAGGTTGGGGCATCTCTGTAGCACCACAATGTATTGTTTATGTATGTTGTGACATATTTTAACTTTATCAAAAAAAACTGAAGCTCCTGCGATTTGGATATAACATTTGGACATACTGCAATTTCAGTTATATTTCAACTGACTGTGCATCCCTACTTTTGGGCTAAAAAAACAATTTTTCACACACATGAAGGACGCATTGCCTCTCTTTTTTCCTAATTACAACATTTTCAAATACATCAATCATAGAATATCTTTCTACTGTTTTCCCCCCAAGATATTAATAGACAAAGAATAAGACCCATCCTGCAAGCAGTGTGGAGCCACTTTGCACTATGATTAAAATGTTGACTGGATGTCCCTTAGCACTGGGAGAAGGCTGATACAGGTGGAACAAAAATGCCAAATGGATGGACGTGCAGAAGGACAAAGACAACAAACACCAGGCAACACCACTCAAAGTTGTCAATTTCCAAAGGCAAGGAGATAAGGCCCCTAGGGCAAGAGGGAGTGCCAAGAAAGCAGCCTCTATTTTGCATCAGGCCTCTGCTTGAGGGATGCAAGTGAACCTGAAGAAAAAAACGTGTCTTTCCAGAAGAGGTGGCAGTAACCTCAATCTGACCAGACTTTGTTCTCTTATCAAGAAAGACAAAAAACAATTTTAGAAAAAGAAGTCACAGTGCCCTGGGAAGAAAAGCTAGCCATCTCTCTCCAACTGAAGAAAGCAGAGTATCAGGATTTGATTGATGAGGCTCTTGTCAAAGGATGTCACGCAACCTTATTCCCTACTGAAGCTGGCTGCCACGGTTCCCAGCAACGTCAGTGCTCTATTTCTTACAAAAGGTCAACTTGGAACCCAAATAACTTAAGAGAGCCACTACAGAGATAGCCATGGTGGTTGAGACCAGCTCAAGATGGTTGTAGTTGATGAGAACCTGCAGGTGGAACCCTTCTGCAGGCGAAGACTAATTTACTGCCCCACTCAGCAACAATGTACAGGGCATGCTGAGGAGTGAAACGCTTGTGTCTCTGAGATACATGCTGAAGATGCAGAAGTGTAACAACATGAATACATGAATGCTCTGACCACCCTTAAACAAAAGAATACTGCCAAGAAAAGGAACTGCTTGTAGCATCTTTGATGTTTACTTCACTTAACCCACTCATGGAAATTAGTAACTTCATATTTACAGTACAAGAGAAAATGTGACTGCTGCTAGAGCCACCATTATGCAAGTTGGTGTGTGACATTGTGTTGCATTTCCAGTTCAGCAGTGTTCACAATGACTACATGTACATGCACAAAATATTCCATTTTTTTACCTTATTCTGATAAAGACAATATTCCTACTAAGCTGTTTACATGGCTAAAGAAAATAAATATTCCACTAAAATTCCTGTTTACAACAGCCGTACATACTGTGATTAACATGCCCTAACATGACATTTATCACATCAAAATATGGAAGAGTGAAATGGCTGGAGCTAGGAGCATAGCACCAAATTCTGGGCCCTACGCAGAAGCTTTCTCTGAAGCTCCCTGCCCTTCCTCTCTTGATCCATGTCTCTCTAACACAGCATTTTAATTTTTCTTTTACAAAGTCAGTTTGCTGGGGCCTCCAGTAGCTCACCTGGTAGAACTGACGCTTCATGTACTAAGGCTATGTTCTTGCTAAAATGCTAAATTCAGAATATCTAAATGGAATATGCTGTTTACATGACCTGCATCAAATTCAGAATATTTTCATATTCACAATAATAGTGGAATATTACCGTGCATGTAAACAAACTTGATGTGTGTATAGTTCCACTTTACTATTTCATTATCTAAAATAGGACTTTTGTTTAGTTGTCCACTACAAGACTGATTCAATTATTGGTGACTTGCCTTGACCTAAGTGGGAAGGCTTCTTAGAAACAATCTCCCCTGTGAAGTTAAGTGTGTAGTGGGTGCTGATGTCATCCTCCTCTGTCTTTGTGATAACAGCCACCTAAAAGAAAAGACATTAAGACACTTTATACAAGTATAGTTTTAAAACCTGGATGTTTGTGTCATTCCTCATATATACTGATCACAGAGTCATCTGTGAAATATTATACATTAATGCATGTATGAAAGTCGTTTTCTTCCCATACTTTTCTTCCCATCTGTCTTGTTTTCTTTTCATCTGACTATAATTCAGTGACTACAATTGTTAAACACTTCTCACCTCAGCCACGGCACAGATGGAGCCCAGTGCCTCCCCTCTGAAGCCATACGTCTCAAGTTGCTCCAAGTCTTCGTGGCTACCAATCTTTGAAGTAAAATGTGCCACGGCCATCACAGGAGTATCTTCAGCTTTGATTCCATGGCCGTTATCACGCACTTCTATTCGATTCAAACCATAGTTCTCCTGCAATATGAAATTGAATAATACTGTAGACTGCATGTGCAAGTGGAGGAAGGAATCAGTACTGTGAGTTGTGAAGATGTAAAGGCACACTTTTACCTGCATGGAAAAATAGAGCTATTCTCCAGGATGTTTATAGCAATGTGTTGTTTCACACTATGCTTTACTTAGATATTTTACTTATTGCATTATCCATCACAACAACAATCTTGCTGTAAATAGGGAAGTAAACACTAATTGACAAGGGCAGTTATACTTTAAAAAAGCAAATCTGGTGACTTTAGAGGTCTACCTCTGCAGTATCAAAGAAACACAGATTTCAAATTCTGAGGGTTAACTTGCTGCACTCAGATGAGTTACAAGAAATATTTAATAAAATGAACAAAAAATAGACTCATGCATCTAGTAGGCAACAACATCTTTATAACTAAAGCCTACCTTTGCTATACATATTGTTTTCAGCTCTATTGAGACAAATCATGCTATAAACAATTCCACTCAATTATATTTTACATTTCTCCTTATTCTTAAGTCTGTCATTTAGACACTGTACCATTTTAACGTCAATGCTTGAGGCCCCAGCGTCCAGGGAATTTTCCATCAATTCTTTCACAACGTTCACCACAGAGGTTATGACCTGGGAGCTGGACAGCAGCCGCACAGTATCTGGAGGCAGCTGCTTCATGATTTCGGGTGTCTGTTGAAGAAAAGTCCCCCATACATTGGTGAGAACAAGCAATTACCAGTACACACAGTTGTTATTATTCATGTTTTCAGATAGGTCCAAAAGTCTCCCTGAGCCAGATGCCTTGCTGGCCTTAACCTAACACCAAAGAAATGCAAAACCAGAGTCATTCATTACAGATTATCAATTGCCCACTTTCAACTGCAATTAGTATTAGTAGTATAAGTAAACATGAACAACTCCCTCCCAAATCAAACTCCAAAAACTAGAGTGCTAAAACTCAAATTTGTGACGCCTACAGGTGTAAAGTCTGGAGCTGCTCCATAAACAATTACTTACTATAGATGTTCTAGATGACACAGAGAGCACCCAGGGAAATGCTCTGATCATAAAGATGCGTTTTCTGATTCAGAAATGAGGACGCTACAACAAAATAAAGCTCAACTGGGTATAAAAAAAGAAAACAAATATTTTGCGGTTGCACAAAATCAGTCTCCCATTCACTGTTTGTGGAGCTGCGCCAGACTACATACCCTGTGGTGACACCACAAGTTAGAAACTTATTTCTCTGGTTTCTGGCTTTAAGAGAGAGTAGCTCATGCTCAAAAATACTGATTGCACATTCCTATGCCATGGAAATAACACTTTGCCATTCTTAATTTAGGCGGTGTTTTCCTTTAAGTTTTACGTTATATTAGAATTTGAGTGACAGATACCTACAAATGCCAGTTTACTGTTAAACGAAACACTCCAGATACCTTCTTTCAGTCATAACATGATTTAGGCAGAAACAGTTTTAATACAAAAACGTGATGTGACGCTGAACACCTTAATAAAATAGTTGGAAAGCATTTATCAATAACGTTAGCTAACCTAACCGCTATGCAAATTATTTGAGCTGCTCATACTCATTAGCTGACCATTAAAAACCGTATTTCGCCAAAACTTACTTGGCGACATTACAACCCATGATAATCCTAATACGAACGTTAAAAATAGCTAAATTAAATGGCTGAATACTGACTTAGACGAGTCCTTTTGACTGAAGCCGCCGTTCAATCTTTCATAAACAACTGGCACGAGCAACACAGCGGAAATGACCTAATTCCCGCCCCCATTATTACACGTTGATTGGTTAGGAGTGACACAAGGGCGGGTTCATAACACTCTGTAAAAAATTTCCACCCTGAGTTCAGACTAACAGGTACTACTATTTTTTTTTTTTTTATTCTTTATTGAACAAGCGTAGTGAATACATTAACATATACACACAGTGCAAACCATACCAGGGGTACATATATACAGAGAAAAAATAATAATAAAAAAAAGAAGGAAAAATTAAATAAATAATATAAAGTAATATAAATTTAAAATACTGTCTCATGAGTTTATATGTAATTTATCAAACATATAGTTTATCAAACATATAGTTCTTTTTATTGCGTTTTTATTCTTGTGGCGCCTTATTGCTGTGCCATATTGTAATAGTGCTTGATAGAAAAATTAAAAATCTGTTTTAGTGTTCACCCACCTCTTGTTGTTATGTGGATATTTCCCATTAATAAAATCAATGGTATAAAAAAAAACTAATAAGTAAACAATCTTTTTGCACTTCATTACTTTCAAAACACATAAAAATGTCTTTATCCTGCAATCAAGTTGCTTGCTCAGTTTTTCTTCTCATATAAAGTCAAACATCCACCCAAAATATTCTGGTATACATACAGTGATAAATGACAGATTGTTCTTCTTCTAATTCACAGAAGGTACACGAAAATTCAATATAAAGTGTGAATCTCTTCAATTCCTTTTTTGCTGGATATATTTGATGCACGATTTTAAAGGAAACCTCTATAACTTTACTATTAAGACAGAATTTGTCACCCACAAGCCAAACATTCTGCCAATTAATTTCATCATGAAGTGAAGCCTTAGATAATCTTACTGAGTTACAGTTTGTATGTGATTCCTGATGTGTTTATTTGGATATTCATTTTTGATAACATCAACTTCCTCAACGAATATACATCTATTAGGGACAGTTCTCTTTTTATCAGAGGAGGGGGCTGGGGTTTGACTTTATTTTATTTATTTATTGACCCTCCCTGAAGCTACAGAAGATTTTCTTGAGCCTCCCTGAGTGACTGAGGGATATGCATGTTTCTCCCTCCACTGTGAATTAGTTGTGAGATCTTAAAAACGTCTTCTTTGATGTTTGAAAGTTTAAGGAAAATCCTGGAGTTGAAAAAAAGCCTTGGCATTTAACTCTTGTTGTGCATGCTGGTTAGTTTACTTTTGGCAAAAATCTAAATGAAGCATGTACAGTAAAGGGGTTTTGAGAAAATACAACTATTTTCAGCTTAGATTTGGTTATGTTTTTTTTCTGATGGACGTGTTTGCTCCACATCATGTGCTCAAGGGTCATCTAAAATTTAATAATCCAATGCAGCCTGACAGATGAATTCGGGGCATAAAATGCCCCGAAGATATGGCTTGAAACCACGTCTACTTCCGCTCAGGTCAGTCTACGACGTGCAGACTGCGCTCGTGAATTGCACACAACAACAAGGAGATAAACCATTTCTCTCCATAGCAGTTTGTTTCCATAAATACCTCCACTGCTCGCTACTACCTGTAAGTTTTACATCGCTTGGTGTGTGGGAGTCTGTTGTTACACTTTTAACCATATAACATTTGTTAATCACGTAATGACGCTGAACAACGTTGAGACTAGTGGTGGTTTGGTCCGGGCTATGTACTGGAGACGAAAACATGTCCAAGGGACGTCTCGTGTGTACCCATCATCTTGGTAAGGCGAGATAGACTTTCAGGTATAGATAAAATCAGTTTACATTTAGTCACCAAGAGGTGTTATCCGCTTGATTTAATGTAATTGTTAAAGTAAAGGTAACGTTGTTTTAACAGTCATGCAGTTTGCTATTGCTACGAAAAGAAATCCGCGAATAGTCTAAATCAGTGACAGTGGCTGAGCACCAAAGCACATATTATCTGTAACGTTAACGTCATGTAACTTAAGTCAAATATTGTCTAATGATTGCAACCAGTTGTCAGTCCTTCCTGTCGTTGCAGATTTAGGCTTTCTACAAGAAATCGTCTCGTCATCAGTTATATTATCAGACTGTATGTATTCATCACTTTATGTATCAACTTTGAATCTTTTCGACTGATGTGAGCACTAGTATCCCAAATGTAGCAGATAGCTTCATGTTACACTGGGGTGATTGAAGACAGTCATTTGGCTTCTGCGATGTTGGACTAAGACTTGGTCGAAAGTCATCATAAGATACAGTCTTCTCATCCACAGCAAGGTTTTAAACAATTGTCAGTTGTCAAAATGTAATCTGGCTGGTAAATAATGACATTGACAGCTTAATGTTGCATTGGGCCTTTTTGGGAATGTGGAGCAAAGTCATCAATTCCTTTAGTGACTGCACTTTAAGCTCATTTCGTTGTCTTTAATCCACTGTACAGCTAGAAATGTGCTAGAGGGTAAAGTTCAGTAAGATTACACAAGGTGTCGTTTTTTTTTTGTTATCACATTTAGACCTGCAGGGAGATCAAAGTGCTACAAGGGCATTTAGGCAACAAGATTTGTTTCTTCAATAAATCTTCACCATCCAGAAAATTGTAAATGATGAAGGTCTGCTCTCCTCTGCACAGAATGTATTTGCAGAGTATATCTGACATGTTCAGGGCTCCATGAAAGTGTTAGTGTTATTACCATGGGGGTACAACTGTGGCACAGAAATACATACTGATTTGTGAATATCTGTATTGTTTTGTGTTCACAGACCAGAATGAATGTGGGTGTGGCACACAGTGAGGTGAACCCAAATACTCGGGTTATGAACAGTCGAGGGATCTGGTTGACCTATGCCCTTGGTGTTGGAATACTTCACATTGTGCTCTTGAGCATACCCTTCTTCAGCGTGCCAGTGGTGTGGACTCTAACTAACGTTATACACAACTTTGTAAGTTACATTGTAAAACTGTCACTGCTTCCCACCATGCCAAACATAATAACTAGGCCATTCAGATTATTGTTCTTCGGAATAGTCAATATGTTTGATTTAAGGGTGTGAAAGAAGATATTTTGAATACCACAAAGTCAGTTGTAGCCTCACAAGCCAAATGAATTGCTTAACAGGCCAGTGTCTGGTATGTTCTGCCTGGCCCTGTGCTTGTGTGTGCTTGTTAAAATATGCTCTATTTTGGGGAGGCTGTTTTTGTGGCAGCCTGACGCATGACCTATTATGATAATTTCCCCACTCCACATTAGGTCTGTAGACAAAACTGACCTTTCATTGTTACGTGGCTGGCCTCAAATAGTAGACACAAAGTCGATCTGTGTGACATCATCAAGCAGTGCAAGCTCGAAGTGCAAGCAGTTTACGAGGATTGTGTATCACAGCCAATATGGAAGGCTATTAACAGTAAGGGCTAAGGTCAACTATAGCCTATTGTTTTCTACACAATACAACTGCAATGTGCTGATTATGCTTTGGCTGTATGTCAGCATTTTAGTTCTCTTTCTCTTCCATCTTTAATGCAGGTTTTCCATTTAAAGCTGCATTCTTGTGTTTTGACATAGAGGCATGTAATTGGTGTCATTCCCAAGATAACTGACTTCTCAATAAATCTGCATCATCCCATTCTTTTTTGGCTCTGGAACGTGTATTTATCAAGAGCCACAGCACCAGACTGCAGCTGTGTTGTTTCTATTGAGATTCTTCTGCCTGCACTTTCTGCCTTTTAGGAAAATTCCCCCCTTTTTCAAAATTATTCCAGTTATTCCTGTGGTCTTAGACAGTCAAAAACTATCAGTAAAGATGAACAACTCTTTCCCAAATCCAAAAACTAGGGTGCTAAACCTCAAATTTGTGATGTCATATGGTATAACATCTGGAGCTGCTCCACTGATAGTAAATTGGGAAAATTGTTATTATTGATACTGAGAGCACTAAGGGGAATGTTCTGTATTTATTGGTCCATTTTCTGTTGTAAGAGAGAACCTTGAGAACCCTACAGTTGAATAAAGCTCACTTGGGTATAGACAAATCACAGTGATGTCACCCTAACAGCAACAATCACTTCCGAGTAGTCAACTGGAGATTGATTTCTGTTGCCGAGATATGTAAAATCTGCATTTCTGTTGTCATTTTCAGCCATAACTGCAGTGTTTTAGGATATATAGGTCAGCATGGTGGTAGATCATGTTAATATATTGACTGAACTTTCCTAGATCATGGAAAAAACACATTTGAATTCTTAATGTAGGTGGTGTTCCCCACTGACAGATAATTGAATTTCCCCTAGGGGATGAATAAAGTTATTCTTATTCTTATTCTTCTTTAAACGCTGTGCAGCTCAGATACCAAAAGTCATTGTTCTCTTTCTTCTTGCTAGTTTGTCAAACAAGAGGAAAAGTAAACGCAGAGTTTTATACTACAGCCAGAAGCTCAACACAATGTATTTGCAAAAAAATCCCTAAACCTGTTTTAGAAGAAATGGTCTAACTCCTTTTTCACACTTTTATTCCCATATATTGTGAACATCAGTCATAACCTACAGTATTATCTAAGTTATCATGGAGAAAATGATAAAAGATGGAAACAGAAACTCCATTTAATCAGTCTGCTATGGTGTTGTTATTTACAAACTGCAATCACTGCTTTACTGGCTATGTTTTTGTCTCCACAGGGAATGTATGTCTTTATGCATGCAGTGAAAGGCACACCTTTCGAGACACCTGACCAAGGAAAAGCCAGACTTCTTACACATTGGGAACAGCTTGACTACGGCGTGCAGTTCACTTCATCTAGAAAGTTTTTCACCATCTCCCCAATCATTCTGTATGTATTAGATATCATGTAATTCTGTCTTTGCATTGATTTAGACATGGATATGGAGAAGTAAAACTTAATAGTTTTATCCAATCCTGGGTCATTCCCACAGACTACCAGACAGAAAGGAAAGCATTTTATCATCATCATCATTAGATATGGTGATTGTGACAGCAGCATTTAAGGGTAACTCAACCTGGACTCTGTTTTCCCATATGTTTGTGTCTAAGTGACTAATGGGAACAACAGCTTTTGATACTGGTCCAGTATTGAGCGAGAGGGCAGCAGTCTGCAGCAACGAAACAGGCTGCAATGTAACCACTTGGGGCAATTGTGCATCAATAATTTACATCCAATAAAAGTCTTTGTTTTTGCCACTGACAGCCTTAGATTATTATTGTAAGTGTCCGATAACATTGTGGAAAGGATCTTTACAGTGACAGACTTTTGTGTTAAAGAGTAAACTAATTTTTGTGTGACTTGAAACAACCCTCAAGTTGCTATGGGCAAATACACCAGACTCCATTTAAATAAACAGTAATTTTAGTATGAATAAAGCCAGCATATTCTCACATCTAACTGGATGAATAAGGTTTTATTCCAACCAAACCAGAGTTTGAGATTGTCAGAACAGTGGAAAGACAAACCAAGATGGCTTTTGTGATTTTTGTTTTTGCGGACTTCTAATAAAGTGTGTTTTTCGATGATAAAATCACTGTTTATTTAAATGGAGTCTGGTGGGTTTGGCAATGGCGATTTCGAGGCTGTTTCTGGTTAAACAAAAAGGATCTGTTTTTTTTTTTTAAACAAACAGGTCTATCTCAGTAGGGATCCTTTCCATGATGTTGTCAGAAACTTACAAAAACAATCGGAGCCTGTCACTGACAAAAACAAACAATTTAAGTGGAAGTAAATCTACAATGCACAGTTGCCCCAAGTGGTTACATTGCAGCATGCATTGCTGCTGCCAGCTGCAGTCATCTCACTCAAAATTGGACCAGTTTCAAGAACTGTTGTTGCCATTAGTCACTTAGACACAAAAACATGAGAAAATTGGGCCCAGGTTAAAAAATACCTAAGTTACCCTTTAACTGTTGTGTAACTGTCAGTGAAACTTAAATTTATATGAATCCTCTCATTGCCTGTTTCTTGTATCAAGAGGGATTTTTTTTGTAACGAACCCATCTGTTTTGCTTCCACAGATACTTCTTGGCAAGTTTCTACACAAAGTATGACACAGCACACTTTGTCATAAACACTGCCTCACTTTTGAGCGTCCTGATCCCCAAGCTGCCACAACTACACGGAGTGAGGATTTTCGGCATCAACAAGTATTAAGTTATTGTAAATGCTGTGCCTCATAGCAACAGAAGTTAATTCCTGTGTAGTCTGTACCGCTGATGTGTGTACTAAGTCATACAGTTTGTGTAAACGTCACAGTCTTCATTTAGATATCAGGTTTAAGATGAAATGTTTAAAACAAAAAAAAGCAGGTTTAGGTCTGTAGATGACAGGATGCCATATGCATAACTAACTTATGTGAATATTTAATGATGTATTTTTGGCCTGCATAGACCTGGGCTGGCCCAGGCATCAGTGAGGCTTTTGGTTAATTTCTTTTCTTTGCCCTTAATTCACATGGCAACACAAATTGTGTATGGGTCTGTTTCTAGCCACAAAGATGTCCCAAATGTATTTTTCAAAGATGTTTACTTCCTAAGGGTAGGGCCTTGTGGCTCACTGTTTATTGGTACACTCTCATTTTGTATTGGGTGTCAATCCTCTTCGTGCTGAGCGAAGAATGGAATCATACTCTTTATTTGCACGATTTCCTTGGTATGTGAATCATTTCTTGTTTGTAACTCAATCAAAACAGGGCAGGCTTTTTTTCATTGTACAGTTTTTTTTGGTGAATGTTATGCCCTGTGTGTTAAAGAACAAGTCATGTGTGTAGAAATGAGACAAAATACTGTTGTCTGATTAAGTGTTTACTGAGGGAGGTCTATCCTGTCTCTGTGATCAACTTACATTCATGTAGCTGCTCTCTTTAGATGATGACTTTTGCTACCATCAAAGCAGCTAGTCCTGCTTTGTTTGGCCATAGCCCTTGATATTTCTTGTTCTTAATCTTATTAAAATGTTTGTGCCCTCAAAGTGCTTCATCTGTTGTGGCAGTGCATTGCATAGTTCCCAATGATAAGGGAGTATCAGGAATGTAATGAGACTTTTTGGGTACGTTCCACAAAGGAAAAGTTACATAATTTGAGGATTTTATCAGATTATTAAGTCATTTTACACATGGTGTTCTTTAAAGTTGAATACAAAACATATTTTACAGCCAATTTTAACCTGAGAAGTAAGACTGACAGTCCTTGCTGTATAAGAAAAGGCATCACACCCGCCTGACCTGGGAGTTTGACATACAGTAAAATATATGTAATGATAGAGTACTACAACAAATTGCACAGGAATAACACAAAGCTTTGAAACAATCACATAAATGCATAACAATGCCATGTAACTTAAGTTGTACACAATGTAGAATGAAAAATTTGACATGCTTTGTAAGTTGCTGGTTAGTGTCAGATTTCATATAATCTTTGAAGGTGCAGTATGAGATTCTGGAGAAAGATTTTAGATTAATTCCCAGGTCATCAAATACCAACACTTTGGCCCAATTCCATTCCTTATTTTTACCCCCGTTGCGAGTGCGCCTTTGCATTTCTGCCTTTTTGCCGTACAGTTACAAGGGGGTAGTGATGTAATAAAAATAAGTGTCATGCACAAATCAGCTATAACAAGGTAATGATGGCTAGCTACCGAGACATCAGCATACTACTAGCATTTTTTGCATGATGTTTTGCTGAAAGAAGGACCACAATAGCCAGAGCCTACATTGAAATTATATTAAACTAATATAATAGTGTTTATTGGAATATTAAATCTTAAAGAAAATACAGTTATGGGTTTTGTTTTGTAATTAAGCAGCCATCTTACTGATGATTTTTTAACAGTTGAGTGTGTTTGAAAAAACTCTGGTGTGACTGACATCCCCTGCAGGTTAATGTGACAGAACAATGCTTAGTTTTTGTTTGAGCTGGTAGGTGGTAACAACTGTAAATGTGAAAACTTCAACACAAAGAAGCAGCAGCTATTAAAGAAGGGGGATAATGCAGCTAAATACCAAATGTAAAGGAATAACAGTTCAGTTCATTAAGCTATTTGCAAAAGATTTTATATTTATATGTAAAAAATGCTCCCTCATCTGAACCTATGAACTAAAACTCTTACAAAACACTTTTTTTTTTTTAATTCTTCCAGTAAACCTGTGAATTAAAGGTCACTGTCAAACAGCTGTGGGAAAGTCAGCACTATGGTGGGAACCTCTTTATTGGCTTTCATCAACACACATGCTCTCGATACAATGACCAATGGATTAAAAACTTTATTTAAAAAAATGCTCACCTAAAACATCATTTTTAACTATTTTTTCGGTAAACTCTCTCTTTTGATGTGGCTTTCCAGACCGTTGAGATCGTAACACTGCTTATCCAACACTCCTTTATAAACCTCAAAGTGATGGTTCAAATCTTTCTGTGAGTGGATTTTATATTTGGTCCCTAAGGCCCCGTCTGCAGAGGCAGTCCCATAGAAGACACGACCTATCCGGGAGTGTACAAGTGCCATGGCACACATAACACAAGGTTCTCGGGTCACGTAAAGGTCATACCCAGTGCATATGTACGGTTGAGAGCCCACCTCTGCATCAGGAATGCTTTGAAGGGTGTCTGAGTTTGGTGAAGTAAATCGGCATGCAGAGTATCTGTCAAAAGAATAACATCCTCCCCCTTGGCTCCGAGCCACGAGGTCAATGCAGACCATGACTGCGTGATGAAGAGGATGGTCACCTCTGCAGTCATGGCCTACTGCAATGATTTTTTCCGTTGCTGGGTCGACCACCACAGCCCCCACTGCCTCCATTCCTAACTCATTCCCTGCAGTAGCAGCAGTCAAAGCAGACATCATGTACATTTGCATACTGGCTTTCTGAGGCGGACTGAATAGCTCTCCTCGCAGGGCGACAGTCACCTGTTTGTCCTCATGAAAGGAGGTGGGCCAGTGTTTGCTCGCGAGCTCAAACTGGGGTCGAGTCAAGGGGGGATGTGCAGGGACCTTTACTACAAAAGGCTCACCTAATCCATCACATCTGACTCCACCTGAGGGGAGCAGAGAGTCAATGCTGACCACCTTCACATCTGGTGCCTCACTGACGAGGCACACGAGGACTTCCAGAGGATGAGGGCTGCCTTTCTCCTTCACTGCCCGCACCCTCTTGATGTGCTGGAGGCCATTCAGTGGGTAGAGGCTGCTCAGCTCGCGGATAAGTCGAGATGTCTCTTTCTTGTTGACAATGGGTGCAGCGAATGCCTCTATCAGCTTGACGTCTTGTGACTGCTCATCTGACAGTACAGGATAAGCAACCCAGGAGTCAGTGTCACATACAGAGCCTTTCCAGCGTTTCGTCTGTGGTTCCATTGTTTTCGTGTTCCCCTGTGAAATATGATTTCACACCAGAGTGAAACGATGTCAGTGCATTTTCAGGACAGAGCACATGAGGCAAAGACTTTCAGTTGTGCAGGACAGAAACTAAGCTCAGTCTATATGATGCAACAGCCCAAAATACCTGCTGCTTTGCATTATTATAGAAATGTATATATTTTTAGCAAAGTCAAGCTGTCAGGAGGTGTATAGGTAGATTTTCTATTTCAAAACATTGAGATCCAACTTCAAAGATAACAGTGAACTTGTAATTAACTATATACTCTGTTTAAAGTGACACACAAGATTTAGTATTTAATACATTTTTAGTTTCTGATAGTATATTATTCAGGCATGAAGTATAGCACGAGTTTTTTGAACATGTTTTTCTGACCTCTACAATAAAATGCAACATTTTGTATCCATGTGAGGTGAAATGTGGATTTGAATTACAGTACCTGCATGCTTAGTGTTAAAGTAAAGTAGATTTATAGAAGAGCCCAATCGATACTGGATTTTTGTGGCCAATATTGACATTTATGCCCAAGAGTTTTAAAAAATAAATCTTATAATATACTGGCCATTAAGAAACCCTAAATTTGGTTATTAAAGAGTTGTGACCAACATATGTATTCAGCAAGGCAACTGAGAGTTGAAAAACATAATTGTCTTTGGCATTTCTGTACACCATAACTTTTGGGCACCCCTGGTCAAAATTTTGTTTACTGTGACTAGTTAAGTGAGTAGAAAATGAACTGATTTCCAAAAAGCATGAATTTGGCAGTGAGGACACAGGAAAGGTTTTCTTCTGATGACTCTTCCATGAAGGTCATAATTGTAGAGGTGTCACTGCACAGTAGAACAGTGCACCACCATCCCAGAGTCTGATAAATCTTCCTGCAGGTCTTTTGCAGTCAAACAGGGGTTTTGATTTGCCTTTCCTAACAATTCTATGAGCAGCTCTGTCAGAAAGTTTTCTTGTTCTTCTAGACCTCAACTTGACCTCCACAGTTCCTGTTAACTGCCATTTCTTAATTACATTATGAAGTGAGGAAACAGCTACCTGAAAACACTTTGCTATTTTCTTATAGCCTTCTCCTGCTTCGTGGGCATCAATTATTTTAGTTTTCAGAGTGCTAGGTAGCTGTTTAGAGGAGCCCATGGCTGTTGATTGTTGGGACAAGGTTTTGGGAGTCAGAATATTTATAAAGCTTTGAAATTTGCATCACCTGGCCTTTTCTAATGATGACTGTGAACAAGCCATAGTCCTAATTGGTTGGACTTGTTTGGAGCTGTTAAATAAATTCATAAATAAACAATGCATACACAAAACAAGACCAATAATAACTTTATATCCACTCTATGTATATAGTGCTCAGACATGAAGCTGATGAATCAACAAAAACTCATTCCAATTTAATTATCAAATAATGACTACAATCATTCCTCTGAAAAATTATAAACAAATTTAAGACACCTTCAAATACTTAATATAGGCCTATGAATCCATAACTTAAGGGTCCAGTGTGTAACATTTAGGGGGGAGTTAGTGGCATCTAGTGGTGAAGACTGCAGATGGCAACCAGCCTACACTTATCATGGTTAGAATTCTTTCAATGTTCTTTGTTCAGGAGGTTTTTAGCGTGTGCCAAATTATCCGCAGAGGTCTCTTCCTCTCCAAAACAAACAGACCAGGTGATTTATACTGCTAAAACACCAAATGATGCAGTTTCTTGTTACAAATCAGTGTTGCTTCTACACTGTTTGGCACATCACAGACATGCTACTAGCACAGCACCTGCTAATGTGTGCTCACTTGTTTTCCCTGTTAATTTTACATGTGCTCACCTTATTTCTGATCCAGATGTTCAGGAAGTTTTTACTGCAAGCTGAATTATCCGCAGAGGTCTCTTCCACTCCAAAACAAACAGACCTGGTGATTTAAACCAGTAAAAACACTGAATAAAGTAGTTTTGTGATTAAAAAAAAAGAAAAGTTTTTCCAATACTGCATGTTGCTGAGGTGCTGCTAATTACGGTGATGGACCAGAAAACAACAAAATACAAATGGTCCTATCTAAAGCCAGTGTTTGGTTTATCTATTCTGGGCTACTGTAGAAACACTGCAGTGCAACATGACAGACTCCATGGACAAGGACCCGCTCTCTATGTAGGTTTAAACGGCTCATTCTAAGGTGATGAATACACTAGGAAAAACATACTTATTATATTACATTCAATTTCTGCCGATATATCCCCCTAAATCCTACACAGTGGACCTAAAAACAATTTCTAGTTGGAACCCTCTGAGTATTGTCAAATTTGATAATGTCCAGCAGTGAGATCACTTGAGGCAGCACAGATATTTCACAAAGCAGGAGGTGATCCTTTATAGACACATGCGAAATATACTTTATAAAGCAGCCTGAATATCATTTTGTTATTATGCTGGATGTTGTCAGTGGCAAATACAGCATGTATTGCCATATCAAACAATAGGTCAACATGCATTCTGTCTTCATTTCCTCCCCAGCATAAGCTTTGTCTTCAAAACTTTGGGCACATGTCGTATGGTCAGTGACACTCTGGTGCCTCGGGTCAATGTCTCTCCTGGCAAGGCCCCAGCGGCAGACAGGTTCACCACCTTGTCGGTTAGCATGTCCTGGCCACGGGGCAGGATGCCATGAAGGAGACGCTGGTACATTTCATCCTGCAGGATCAGAAGACTGCGCGGCTTCACCAGCAGGGAAAGGAGAAAGCGGTTTTCCTCTGTCTGTGGCACATCATCTTCCTGGCTGCTGACAGGCGTGTAGAAGTCCAGGAGGGTGTGAGAGCCCAGGCTGATGGTGGTGACAGTAGGGTGGTACAGGGGGCCGTCTTCATGAGGCATAATCCCTTCCCCTTGTTTATACTCATTCACCAACACATGATTGGCTGTTTTTCCACTGAATGCACCTAGAGAGGAAATTTTCTCACAGTATGTCTGGAGCCAGTCAGGAATCTTTTCTGCTAGCATGCCTTTGGGACACGGTAACCCTCCCCAGTTCTGAAGCCTTCTGCCTGACAGCTGGGTCCATTTAGTTTTGGGAGACTTGTACACCTGTTGCAGAAGGTAGGACTCTTCATTTTCCGATATGAAATCTGGGATGTAATACACTGTTGGAGGGGCATCATTTACGACAAACTGCTTCAATTCTTCCAAAATACAAGCTGGGTGTTCCATGCCTCCTTTAGAAAAGTCAACATGAAATGCTTGTTAAAACCCAACTCAAAAAAGTGCTAAAGCTAACCTCCACAGAGAGTTAGGTGTACGACAACCATGTTTGATAACAACTGTAAAACTGACTGACTCTACATCTAAACAATTAACTGTTAAACATACAGGTTAGGTAATCTAATTAACAAGTTAATAATAAAAAATCTGCTAGTGTTATCTGCTAGCAGCAGGACGTCCCTTATCATGCTGGGAGCATTAACAACTTTCTGCTCCTTCCAACCCCTTGTGTATACTGTATGCCAACAAACCAAAAAATAGGTCAAACAGATTGTATGATCTATTACAAGTTCACTGACACATATGAAAAGGGTACTGGTTTGTTCCTTTGTCATAAAAGGGATAGCTATTTTTGAAGTGGGGTTGTATGAGGTACTTATGGCCAGTGTATTACATACACCCCCACTTTGGAGGCTTAAGTTCAACACAGAGGCTAAGCAATATACTGCTGAGGATAAGGGCTAGCAACGCAACATATTTTAGCCACGTAAAAAAGTCCCACCTGAAAAAATTAATATATAAATGTATGCTATATTGAGAGTATTTTCACAGGACAAGCCTGTTCCAACAGGAAGCCATTAGTGGCTTCATTTCCCCATCTTTGCTCTATCAAAGCCACCAGACTGATGGTCTAATGTGGCTTTGAACAGTTTGTGACTTTGGCAATTAAAAGGGTTTGTTCAGATTCACCAAAGTCACACAATAACACAAACAAACTAACTGCTAGTAACAGAGCAGCAGCGCCTGTGTTCGGCAATGTTAAATCACTGTTTTTCTTGATGGAGTCTGGCTTTAAAGACAGCATTACAATGACATATTTTTACCTTTGGAAATAAACTAATAAGTATATTTTTAGGTGGGACTGATTTAAGGTGGCTAGAATTCTTTTTGTCGCTGACTCCTCCACAGCAGTTGATTGCTAAGCTTCTATGTTGAACTCCAGCCTGCTTCTCCAAACTGGGGGCGTGCTGACTGACATGGACTGTTTGTAATATACTATCTTTGAAAATCTGAACTGTCCCTGTAAACACTCCAGTCTGCAAGAGAAAATTCACAAATGGTTACATCACATACAAATGTATGTAATGTTGCCTTAAATGTTGTGTTACTTAGGAACTTTCTGGTGGTAGAAATGGTTTTGACTCTGCTCCTAGTCTAAAACAATACCAAAAATAAGCGTTAAACAGATGGATTGAATGGTGAGTCTTTCTGTTAATCCTTTAAATAACCATTGCCCAATGATGCCTCGACATAACGTTACAAGAAAAATGTCAACATGCTACGCTGTATTTCAACTGTACCTAAGATTATATTATTTTGCCTTTATACAACACTGATTGTTTTAGCAAATGTCTCAGCAACTCTGCCAGCTTTGTCAACAATACACTACTTTGTTCCTGAGTTAGGGACTTGTCAGAGGTATTGGGTGTGACTTTATTTTATTTTATTTAATCTTGAGCCCCCCTGAACAAACAAACATTTTTCCTTGAGCCTCCCTGAGTGACTGGAGGAAAATTCATGACCTTGCCTCCACCATAAATTAGATATTAGATCGTTTTAAACCTAGTCTTTGATGACTGAAAGTTAAAGGTGAAGTCAAAATCCTGGAGTTGAAAAAAGCCTCGGTTTTTCCCTCTTGTCGTGCATGTTGGTTAGTTAGTACAAAAGGTTTATTAGTGGCCAAATTTTAATTGAAATGTAGAATAAAGCGATTTTGATGAACAATCACTACTTTAAGATCAGATCTGGTTATGTTTTTTTATGATGGAAGCATTTGTTGCACCTGAGGTTTCCAAGGACTGTTGGAAATTTAAAAATTCAATGATAATTTGCAAATGTGAAGATTGCTCTTTTTGGAGCATATTGTACCCCGTTGTAAACTGCCCACTTGTGGCCCTCCTATCGGAAGACCAACATGCAAAGACTTAATGAGGCCTTAATGGAGGACTGCTTCTTAAGCTTCCACAATGGTGCAATGCCAGCCAAATGTTTGTAAATGTTGATGTGCCTACCTGCCCTGGTTTCATACAAAATCTTATATATCGATATATGTGCAGGCCCTTTGTCTATAGACGGAATCGCCTTGTTGTTGGCATTTACTTCCGGGTAGAAAACCAACGCGTCAGTTTAATGAAGACGAGCGAGAGGTAAGCTATATATATCATTGTTTAGAATAATTTGATGTTTGTAAAGTCTATAAAACAAATGATTGAACAAACATTACTACTTCTGTGTGCATGTTTTTGTAATTAGTCATGGTTATCGTAGATTAGCTGAGCTAACGGTTAACTCGTATTTATGAGGTAGTTATAAATATCCATTTATTGGACAGGAGGAAGCTTAGCAGGGTCAGTAAACCACCCATCACTGATATTATAGGGATCTGGAAGTGGCATGATGGCATCTCCAACATGGAGCTGCAATTTCTCTTTATAAAGATTATAATCTGATGTGTCTAAACCAACAGCATAGGTGGACAACTGACTCATCTTTCCTTTGCTCTTGATGGTCCTGCCTGTCTTGTGCGTCTTGTTATTTACTCCTGCTTCTTCTCACCCTCCTCATCTCTGCCTCTTCTTATTTACTCCTGCCTCTTATTTAAATATTGTCTCTTCTTATAATTCTTATTTATCCCTTCTTCCTCTCATCTTCTTACTCCTGCCTCTTATTTACTCAAGCTTCTTCTCATCTTCCTCCTCTCTGCCTGTCTTACCCTGGTTCAATACTTTTTCTGTAGAGGTGAATAACGTGAAAATCATGAATGAAAAACTGTTCAACAATCGCCATTTCCAACATTTTGTTTATTAAAGCAGATCGTCAACATCAACACACCACTTGTTACATTGCTGGCTAGAGGCTGGTTTGCGAGGCTACTGGCACTACTGTGTAGCTAACTTTGACAGCTAACCGTTAGCTCAGCTAATCTACGATAACCATGACTAATTACAAAAACACGCACACAGAAGTAGTAATGTTTGTTCAATCATTGATTTTATTCTAAACGATGATATATATAGCTTACCTCTCGTTCGTCTCGTTCATCTTCATTCAACTGACGCGCCGGTTTTCTACCCGGAAGTAAATGTAAACAACAAGGCGATTCCGTCTATAATGTCTTATATCGTATTTTTGTACATAGACGATTGTCTGTTTTTTTGTGTGGTACACTTTCTCTGTGTCCTTAATAAAGTAATTATTATATTGTTATTTTTTCTGATTTTACAGTTTCTGGCTATGATAAATGCTGTAGGTGTGGAAGGCATATTTTCTTTAAAAATCAACTGTAAAATAAACACAAAATACAACCATTCAAATCTGTGTGCGCCTGCTCTGAACCTCACCAACGTTTACAAAGTTACTTAACATTCCTGCCCTTTTTTTGCACCACCCCCTCTCCCCATGAGTAACGAACAGTCCCTTGTCGTGCGGTTTTTATCACAAGTTCCGCATTTCTGGTGCTCGTGAAGGCAACACAACCCACTATGTGGGACAGGCAAAGACGGTGGGACAGGCTCTTAAAATGTTAAACAGCGCCATTTTTGTAACACACAGCACAGCCCGCTACCCACAGAAACATAAAAACGGACACGTTTTACATTTGAAGTGACACAACATCAAATTTACCTTTTTGCGACATCCAAAGTTTGATTAAAAAAAACACTGTTTGGTCAGAAAGCTCAGTCAACCGCTCGACTCCATGCTTACAGTATTGTGCAGCTGACTAAAATGTCCCCTAAATGGAAGCGTATCAGTTTTGAACCGATGCTTCATTCTCTGAATGATTTTGTCAAATTGTAAGGTATTCGAAAGTATAAAAACGACAGGTAAATTATGATTTTTCCCCAATATTTTTGTTGGTGTCTAACTTTGATGTGTGTGCTTAATCTAAATTCACAAACTTGCCGGTGCACGGAATTATTTACATGTGACGCAGGCACACGGCTGTAGGGCGGTAAAGGAGAAGTACGTGTGTCTACTGCTTTGGTTCGTTACCCTAAAGCCGAATGTGATGCTGTCTTCATTCTTTTTTCATTTACGAGTTTAAAATTCAATGGGAAACGAGGTGTGGTCACCCTCAGTTATTAAACAGTTATTCTAACTCATAGTTAGTTAGCATTAAGGGTCACGACCATGTTCCCTACAAAAGTAAAAATTCTGCACAGGCTGCTACAGTTTAGACACACATTTTGGTGCTCTCCCTCATTTGGAAAAGCACCTTGCTCCAGACTGGTTTTGGGCATTGAGACGAGCTGTGATGACACTGGAGCTGCTGTGCTGGACGAGACAGGTGAAATACTGGGAGAGTCTCTACATTCACAGAAAGAAGTTCACCTGAGGTGGGTGTCAGAGCTGTATTCAGTTAGCAGGGTCATTGCTTCAGGGCTTTTGCTTTGACATATCTCCTTCCCCCCCCTTGAATGCTGCAGGACAGGTGGCATCATCCCCACAGTGGCACAGCAGCTCCACAGAGAAAACATAGAGCGTGTGGTCCAGGAGGCTTTAGGGAGGAGCAACGTGGACCCAAGCCTCCTCACAGCTGTGGCAACCACTGTGAAGCCAGGCTTGGCCCTAAGCTTGGGTATAGGTCTTGACTTCAGTAAGAGGTTTGTGAGGCAGCACAACAAGCCCTTCATTCCCATCCACCACATGGAGGCTCATGCCCTGACCGTCAGGATGATCCAACCTGTTGCCTTCCCCTTCCTGGTCCTGCTAATTTCTGGTGGTCACTCACTTCTTGCTGTAGCTCGAGGAGTCGACGATTTTCTGCTTTTGGGTCACAGTCTGGATGAAGCTCCAGGGGATACACTGGATAAAGTAAGGTCTTAATAGTGATGTATGTCTGCTGTTAGTGGTCATGCTATTCCATTTGTGATCGTAAACAAATAAAATATTGTCTTTTTTGGATTCACAGGTGGCAAGACGTTTGTCCCTCATAAAACACCCACAGTGCTCCACACTAAGTGGAGGGCAAGCTATAGAGCTTCTGGCAAAGACTGGCGACAGGACGAAATTCCCTCTCAGGACACCTATGGGACAAACAAATGACTGCTGCTTTTCTTTTGCTGGGATACAGAATCAGGTTACCATGGTGATAAAGAAAAAAGAGGCAGAGGAAGGTATGAGGACCCACAAGGTCCATCGCCCGATCAGATTCATAGACCTCTCTTTACAGAAATTTGACTTGTCCAACACAGGTGTATTTGTGCGATCATTAATGTTATGACGAGTTAAATGTCTGCTGTAAAACACATCTAAGAATTGTATTCTTTTTGAAAATGTAAAAAATGAAACAAAGCAAGAAAAAGTACATTGATGAAAAATACAAAATAAATAGAGGTTTGACAGGTTTATGTGTAAAACTGGCAGTGTGGGAAAATTATTTTTTTAATTTTCATTTGCACACCAGAAACAAATGAGAAACATTCATAAAGAGAAACTCTGTGGTTTGCGACATTGTTACTAGTTCCTATTACTAGTTGTTACAGCTTTACAGAAACTGTGTGGGAACCATAGACTGTATGGTGGGAACGTAACATATCAATAAATTATACTTACTGGAATTTTTTTTCTTTCTCTGCAGGTATACAACAGGGAACGCTGTTGTCATGTGTGAATGACATTGCAGCAGCTACACAGCACACAGTTGCCTCCCACCTTGCAAAGCGCACCCATCGTGCCATCTTGTTCTGTAAGGCAAACAATCTGCTGCCGTCAAGCAGTCCCACCTTGGTGAGTGCATTACTTCCCCTTTTATTTTATTTAATTAATGAAAATAACATTGCAATTACTGATTGGTCATTGGAGAACAGGCGATTGTAAATGACATGTTAACCTTCTAACCTTCTTCCTTAATTAGAAGATTGATAGTAGAAACACCAACACTGTTACTGGCCTTGGATCTTATTTTACATGTGCTCCCACTGTTAGACATGGGACAATATGAAAATTTCATGTCACAATTATCCTGGCTAAAATAATTGCAATTTACAGTATTATCCCAGTTATCATTAAAATATCCTTAAAACTCTTAAAATGGCACTAAAACATACTGGAATCACTTTGCCTTATATTTGTTAAGAAACAAATATTTTTATAGTATCTCAGAGGATACACATCTTTTCTCTCATAAACATCCTTTTTGGTGAAAAACAACCTGAAAAAGCTAGGTCTTTCAACTATTTGAAATGGCATCATATATGTTGATGTGAAATATGCCAATAATCGGTAAGGATCTTTTGCCTTTTTTGAGGATGGTGTGCATGCAGCATGTTATTACAGTCTCTTTTGTTGTTGGTTGCCCAGCAGTCTCTTTGGATGCTGCTGGGCGCGATATTCCAGATTATCCCCACAATCGAAATTCACCATGATCAATTTATTGTGAATGTTTTTTTGTCGCAATCCACGATAAATCGTATATCATCCCATTTCTACTCAGCAAACTGAACTTACATGTGTGTACAGAAATGCTGAAGGAGCCTTACAACTTACTAATACATGCTTGTAATTCAAATTAAAGAGAAACCATGCAGGATTTTCCTTAAAAAACAATGTATAGACTCATACTGAAGTAATCCCTCTCAATCCTCGCTGATGACCCACTCACAGTGTATGATGGTGTATTTACCTGCAGAGACTTTGCCCTCTGACAGATTTTTTTATTTTCTGTGTTCAGGGACGTTTATGGGTGTGTACCTCCACAGCACTCAGATGAGGTCAGGCTTTATGATTAAAGGTAGCGACCAGGTGCCAGACTGTAAGCAGCAGTATTCAAGAGACAACAGTGCTAAAAAAGACAAACATATCAAGGTGAAACACCAAACGAGAGGAAATCTGGGGTTGGCTTTTATTTTAGCTTTTGCTGACAATCATTTTTGCAGTTACCGTCAATCCTGCATAGTTTACCTTTAAGGCTAGCAACAAATGCACTGTTTATCCTGTTATAGTAATGTTTGCTTAAAACTTAAGTGAAAATCAAAAACCCTTTTTTGAAAATAAAATAATATTTTAGATGCAGATTTAGGTCTTATAGTGGTGTTGGAATTGAGAGCCACACACAGGGTAGAGGTGTTGGAAAGTACTGAAAGATGGACGCACATTGTTAGTTTCGGTCTTGTCATGGGATTTGATGACAACAAGAAAAGTTCAGAATAACAATTAGAGAACTCTGTGAATATAGATTTGAGGACTTCATCATTAACTCTCCTGTAACAGGTGCTGTCTGGGGGAGTTGCAAGCAATCAGTACATCCGCAAGGTTTTGACCATCATCACTGACACGACAGGACTACGCCTGATCTGTCCGCCAGCCAAATTCTGCACTGACAATGGAGTGATGATTGCATGGTGTGTATAGTGACATTCAGTAAAGCTTTGACAGTGAATCTGATTGGATGATTTCTCCCTCTGTAGGTAGAGTTCAGTCAATCTGAGACAAACTTACCATTTTCTTTTTAAACCAGGAACGGTGTTGAACGGCTGAGAGAAGGGAAAGGGATTCTGTCTCCAGATGTGGATATCCGCTATGAACCAAGGTAAGTCAAACCTGAACCAAAGATATCATTTACAATTTCAACTGAAAATACCAATTTTACCATTAGCTCACATAAATGTTGTATTCCAGGGCACAGCTGGGTGTTGATATGACAGCAGAGGTAAAGGCAGCAGCGATCAGGTTGCCGTCAGTCAACCTGAAGATCCCCAGCTGACACACTGTTGGCTTTGTTCTGAGCAAAAAAAGTATTTTGTCACTCCTACATTTTCCCAGTTCAGATACATACTGTGTATATACTGTGTATGTATAAGCACATTAAACAGCTATTTATTAATAAACTTTTAAAAATGTCAGTTGATTTAACAACAAAAAAAAAATCCCCTACATTACTAACTGAAAATATAAATTCCATCAAAGTGACAGTTTTTACTTTTCAGTGACCTGATTTTTAAACATTAAAGCCATCATTCAACAACACGTACAGTATTTGAACACCTTGAGGACATCTCTCTGCCTCTCCCTCTATGTATTATTTTGTCATATGGATTAGTGTAATTTCATTTTGTTAATCTGTCCATCCAGGGAGAGGGATCCCTCCTCAGTTGCTCCTCTTAAGGTTTCTTCCATTTATTTTTCTCAGTTAAAGGTTTTTTTGGGGAAAGTTTTTCCTTATCCGCTGTGAGAGTCCAGTGACAGTGGGTGTCATATGTTGTAAAACCTTCTGAGACAAATTATGATATGTGATACTGGAATATACAGTACAAGCCAAAAGTTTGGACACACCTTCTCATTCAATGCGTTTTCTTTATTTTCATGACTATTTACATTGTAGATTCTCACTGAAGGCATCAAAACTATGAATGAACACGTGGAGTTATGTACTTTACAAAAAAAGGTGAAATAACTGAAAACATGTTTTATATTCTAGTTTCTTCAAAATAGCCACCCTTTGCTCTGATTACTGCTTTGCACACTCTTGGCATTCTCTCCATGAGCTTCAAGAGGTAGTCACCTGAAATGGTTTTCCAACAGTCTTGAAGGAGTTCCCAGAGGTGTTTAGCACTTGTTGGCCCCTTTGCCTTCACTCTGCGGTCCAGCTCACCCCAAACCATCTGGATTGGGTTCAGGTCCGGTGACTGTGGAGGCCAGGTCATCTGCCGCAGCACTCCATCACTCTCCTTCTTGGTCAAATAGCCCTTACACAGCCTGGAGGTGTGTTTGGGGTCATTGTCCTGTTGAAAAATAAATGATCGTCCAACTAAACGCAAACCGGATGGGATGGCATGTCGCTGCAGGATGCTGTGGTAGCCATGCTGGTTCAGTATGCCTTCAATTTTGAATAAATCCCCAACAGTGTCACCAGCAAAATACCCCCACACCATCACACCTCCTCCTCCATGCTTCACAGTGGGAACCAGGCATGTGGAATCCATCCGTTCACCTTTTCTGCGTCTCACAAAGACACGGCGGTTGGAACCAAAGATCTCAAATTTGGACTCATCAGACCAAAGCACAGATTTCCACTGGTCTAATGTCCATTCCTTGTGTTTCTTGGCCCAAACAAATCTCTTCTGCTTGTTGCCTCTCCTTAGCAGTGGTTTCCTAGCAGCTATTTGACCATGAAGGCCTGATTGGCGCAGTCTCCTCTTAACAGTTGTTCTAGAGATGGGTCTGCTGCTAGAACTCTGTGTGGCATTCATCTGGTCTCTGATCTGAGCTGCTGTTAACTTGCCATTTCTGAGGCTGGTGACTCGGATGAACTTATCCTCAGAAGCAGAGGTGACTCTTGGTCTTCCTTTCCTGGGTCGGTCCTCATGTGTGCCAGTTTCGTTGTAGCGCTTGATGGTTTTTGCAACTCCACTTGGGGACACATTTAAAGTTTTTGCAATTTTCCGGACTGACTGACCTTCATTTCTTAAAGTAATGATGGCCACTCGTTTTTCTTTAGTTAGCTGATTGGTTCTTGCCATAATATGAATTTTAACAGTTGTCCAATAGGGCTGTCGGCTGTGTATTAACCTGACTTCTGCACAACACAACTGATGGTCCCAACCCCATTGACAAAGCAAGAAATTCCACTAATTAACCCTGATAAGGCACACCTGTGAAGTGGAAACCATTTCAGGTGACTACCTCTTGAAGCTCATGGAGAGAATGCCAAGAGTGTGCAAAGCAGTAATCAGAGCAAAGGGTGGCTATTTTGAAGAAACTAGAATATAAAACATGTTTTCAGTTATTTCACCTTTTTTTGTTAAGTACATAACTCCACATGTGTTCATTCATAGTTTTGATGCCTTCAGTGAGAATCTACAATGTAAATAGTCATGAAAATAAAGTAAACGCATTGAATGAGAAGGTGTGTCCAAACTTTTGGCCTGTACTGTATATAAATAAAACAGAATCGAACTGAATGACTGAACAATCTGAGGGTCATAAACAGCATGGGAGTGTTCACATTTTAAACATAAAGTTTGTCATAAGTTTAGTTGCTCCGTCTGGAATCGACATGCACTTCTATTTGATTGTATGTGTTGTACAGAGAGCTGGTTTCTCCACCTGAAAGCAGAGATGAACTTACTTTGAAGAAGAAAACAGGTGTTTGCTGTGCCTTCATAAATCCAATCTGTCCTCTCTTATTCTAACATCACTAAAGAAATGAAACCAAAGATTACCCGTCTTCTGTGTTAAAGGAGAACTGTAGAACCTGTTAAAAACAAAACGGATTAAGATACACAATTGTTAAGGATATTGAGTATATCCCATTTAATTGTGTCCAACCCCTGTACAGCAGGTGCAAATACTTGCTGTTATTGACTAAGCACTACCCTCTAGTGGTTAGTTTTTGTATGTGCACTTCAACACAAAGTCAAAGCAATGGCTACAGTAATTGACCCAATGGGAAAATAAAAATGCTTTTATTAAGAGCATACAGAGAAAACACTGACATAAGAATGTGCTTGTCATGTGAAAGAGTTAGCCAAGTAGTCAGTGAATAATCATTTCAGGTCAGAAAATCTTACCTGTAGACAAATTGTGATCAGAAATACACTTCACACTAAAACACAATTATCTGGTCTGTCTTCAGACTAGACACATCTACCTGAGCTGGAAATTAACTGCAAAATCTCTTTAGATCCTTTATCTTCTGAATGCCTGTAAATTCATGGTTTCAACCACGAAGGAAAATCAGAATTACACATGACATACTGATGTTTTCCACATACACTGTGGTTTATTTATTGTGATACTAAATGGGCTACAAAAACTGTTTGACTGGATACAATGAAAATAATGATTTTGACATTAAGATGTACACAAAACTTTTAAACATGTCTAACAAACCACAACATGCATTCATGTGCATTTATCGTCAATTATATCCAAACCTCTCAGTCACAGCCACATTTGCTGTCATTCCTTTGAGGCTTGTTTATAATAGACACACCATCTGGCAGGGCTGGGTTTCTTTTGAAAAATTATGATACCAGTACAAATACCAATACCAATACCTTTAAAGTGATACCAACAGAGTTTTTCATTTGATACCTTTTGTTTTCTACTTTATAATTACCCAGTATGTGAATGGAAGCATTCAGTAAACCCACCACAGGTGTGTAGCCGAACTTTTAAATGTTTTGGTGGCCTTTCAGCATACTGAACTTTTAACTTACACCATGCTCACCATGCACACCACAGACTGTATAGGTTGTAGCTGCTACCATAGTGGGCTAATCACATGTAGTACTGAATCCAAGAACCTTTGCATTAATATACTGCGAGCAAATGGTCTTTTTTTTCTAGATCTGGGTACAAATTGGAACCAATGCAGGTATGAAATTCACTGGAGAACTTTCAGTAATAATAACTGGTACTGGGTTATTTTGGTTAATGCCTTAAAGAGATAGTTCAGATTTTTTAAAGTGGGGTTGTACAGGGTACTTATTCATAGTCAGTATATTACTGGCTGTAGATGTCAGTCGGCACATCCCCAGTTTGGCTGGAGTCCGACATGGAGGCTAAGCATCTTTCTGTTGTAGAGGGGTCAGCAACAAAGTGTATTTTAGTCAACTAAAAAAGTCTCACCTAAAAACAATCAGTATTAGTTTAATGTGCTATATTGAGAGTATTTTCATTGCTGTACCTGAATTTACAATGAAGCTGTCACACTGCACTCTTTAAAGCCAGACTCACACAGGAGCTGCTGTTCTACCGCTGCCTTGATCAGTTGATTAGTTTGTGTTATTGTGTGACTTTGGTGTTTTAAAGGGTTAGTTCGGATTTACCAAACACAATGACACAAACTGACTGATCAGAGTAGCAATAGGTCAGCAGCGCTTGACAAGAACATAGATGGGGAACTGAAGACATTTAAAGTGTCCCTGTCAGAGGCTGTCTGAAAGAAATGTAAAGGTGTGAAAATACTTTCAATATAGCGTACACTAAAACTGATGTAGGACTTATTTCAGGTGGCACGTTTTGTTGCTGACCCCAATCCACAGCAGTTCATTGCTTAGCTTCCATGTCGGACTCCAGCCTGCTACTCCAAACTGGAGGTGTGCCGACTGACATCTACTACAGGTAATACACTAAGGATAAGCACTTTATTTAACCCCACTTGAAAAATCCAAACTATCCCTTTAAAGGTGTCCAGTGCGGATACCCAGCCCTTCTCAATGGATTCACTTCTATCTATAGATCTGTACACTGTTGTGATGCTGCAGATTAGAGGGCAGGAAATTCACAGGAAGTGGGGACAAATTTAAGATCCATTCTCTTCTGTGTGGTTAAACCATCCTCTCAGATCTCACATGACAGTTTCAAAGCCAATGATTCAACAGTATGAAATGGTCTGATTTTTTTGTTGAGCTGCAAATTGAATCAACATTTAACAAAAGACAAAACTTGAAAACAGGAATATAACATTTCAGATGCTAAAATTTAGTGGTATTTGCACAAAGGGTTTCACAGGTCTTGATGTTCTTGCATAGTTTAATACTTGGTATTAAATTGAGAGGCTAGCTTGCTGGCTTGGAAAGATGTCTTGGGTGCTCCAAATACATCAACACAGTTTCTTACAGTCTGCTTTTTAAGGAAAAATCCACCCCAAACTATTCAACACTTTCCCCTGCACTGCAGATCCTATTTAGATGTTTGATGTTCATATCATTCTTGAGGATAACTGGTCAAACATGGAAGACGTGGTGTCTCATTGTAATATTCACTGCTACAATATTTTCATAGCAAAAAGAAAGTCAACAGTGTAAAAGTATGCGAGGGTGGATTTTTCCTTTACTTATTCAAGTCTTCTCTGTAACTGATAAAGGTACATAAACTAAAACAAAGACCAAGCTCTACAACTTCCAACATTACAGCTCATCATGTTCATAAATATTATACTCCTTAGCACTGATCTGTCCGTCTTTGTCACGGTCATTCTTGCGGAATATATCATCCATAATCTTCTCATAGAAAGGATCGTCGCGTGGCTTCCCACCTTTTTCATACTCCAGTTTCAGGTATTCTTTTACCTGGAAATAGAGGAACACTTTATTGTTCACACCTCAGAATAAATGACAGACATGTATTGCACTGCGATAACACTGCTTTTATATAACAAGCACCTGTTGTGCTCTACAGGCAACACATCACATTGGTGATAAATAAAACTATAAATGGTATTGATAGCAGGTCATTCACTTCTTCTTCTTTCAATGTGCTATCAACAATCCAGATAACGTATAATTATAAGCCTGCTGGCAAGTATGCTGTTATTAACTTAATTCTAAGGAACTACAGCTGGCAAATGAAGTAAATTAATAAAAGGTTAAGTTATTTATAGCCTGATAATTTTCTAGTACAATCCATGGATGTTTATGATGTGAAATAATCAGAACACAAACAAATGTGGCCTGATTCTTTATGAGCAACTAGGTGAGGTTACTTCAGGATGGATTTTTTTTCCAGAAGTCTGCAATATGACGCTCAATCAACATACCCAGGAAATGTGTTGGTTATCTCACACCACTAACCCTAACATTGGCTGTCTGGATCACCGGTATCATGAAGCTGGTTGTTAACTAGTTCCATAAACTCTGGGTTTTTTTCTAGGTATTTCTGAGGTCACAGTGACCTTGACCTTTGACTACCAAATTCTCATCGGTTAATTGTTGCATCCAAGTGAACACTGGTGCCAAATTTGAGTTATTTCCTTCAAAGCATTCTTGAGATATTGCATTCACGAGAATGGGACAGACAACCCAAAAACATAATGCTTCCGGCCTTGGCTATCTCCGGCGTGGAGGTATAATTATTGTGTTGAATCAAATAACCATCTGTGACCAGGTATCATCCTGGATGGAAGAACAGTACACTCTGCACAGGAAGAGTAACAGCTGTTTAAATGGGGAAGCCCTAGCATTTTAATCCAACCACGGTTATTACCTTTCTGTCTGAGCTACTTCTCTGATAATTACCAACTTTTAAATTATAGTTACCTCAGCCTTTGTGAGACTTCTGTCTTTATCAAGGTCCATGTCTTTGAAAGCCTCCATGCTGCGTGGTCCCCTTGACACAGAGTAGACCTCCACCTCAAAGACCACAGTAGCATTGGGCGGCACTGGATCTATTTCATCAGGAGCAACACATCAAGATTTTAGACGACCATAAGCAATCATAATGTTAAAACTGTGACTCATAATTACTGATGATTTGCATCATGCTTTACCATGTAGGATGGACTTGTAAAGTTGGTTTAATAACATCTCAGGAAGGATGGGAGTTTAATTTTACTGAGTGTATCGTGTTTGTGGCTCGGTTACATTTTCAGACTTTATGATGACCTCAACAAAACAGCTACAAATTGCATAAATTAATGAATCATAGAATAATGTAGTACCTATTTAGCCTGTAGAGCAAAAGTCTACAAGATGTAAAGAGCACATGAGAGGTGTGGTAATCTAGCAAGAAAAGAAAACATTGTAACTACAGCAAAATGCAACTAAAGCTGTTAATTTTTACTGAGAGGAAAAAAAGCATTAACATGGATTGCAGCTGTTGAACAGTGGGTTTTCACTTAGCGGTGCTCAGCCCCGGATAGGTTTACATGTGTGTAATTCTAACTCAAACTGATGCAGGGACAACAACAGCATGCTCACTCAGCAAAACCCTTTCCTCCATAGCCGGAGACTGGAATCAAGTGATGAAACCTGACATGCAGACTCCGAGGGTGATCAACACCACCATCAGATTATACCATCATGCATTCATGAAAACCAACATGAGGAGGTTTGCAGGAAATAGTAGTAAACAGTAAAACACTCATCAGCTGTTAGTTTTCTGCAAGTGCTCCAAAGCATGCAAGAAAGAGTGACATGAAGTAGAGACCTTTAAACCTTTGTGCATGCTTACAGTACATGCCATGGGAGGATGAGTAGCAAACACTGCGAGGGATGCCCTTTCAACTAAAGTGCTGTAAAAGAAGACAAGACAGCATGAAGGCAGCGCTTCCAGCACAGACACAATATTACACAATAATCAGTTTAAAAGACTGTATAAGGAGGATTGATGATTTTTTTACTCATTAATTACAACATACGTATACTACTGCTGACCATTCTCATTGATTTCCTGTTTCCTCCAGCTGGAGACATATATCAATTTCATTTGCAGACATAAAACTTGCTTGAAACAGGTGGACAAGAACACTTTTGTAACAAGTTTAAATTCCCTTGTGATACAACTGAAATATTACTGGTACCTATTATAAGAGGCACTCAACCAGAAACACATCAGTTTACTCATCATGCGGAGTACTGCTTGGCCAGTGAAAACAGTTGTTTAATGTTCTCTGTGGCTCTGCAGGAGCTTTCTCAAATCTGAGAAAATAACCCCGGTAATGTGATAGTGATGTCATCAGGGTTATATTGGCTCGGCTTTGGAGACTACAAATTTATAATGAAGAGCTTGCGTTACAAACTGGGGCTGTCGAATTTGAAAGACGTGGATGTTCACCAGGCAGTGCGGCAAGTTGTGTTATGGGAAGTGTAGGATCCAATGTTTTTAGAGCCTGAACAATACTAGGGAATAAAACCAGTGTTAAAGTAATGTCATTTGGTGTAATTGGACAGTTCGGTAGTGATCAATATTAAACCCTCTGCTGATAAAAATCCCTTCGTGTTATATTTACTTACCTTTGCCTTTCTCTCCAAAGGCCAGGGCAGGTGGAACAGTTATTTTTCGTTTCTCTCCAGGACACATATCTTCCATTCCTATATCAAGGCCCTTAATGACTTGTCCGACGCCCAGCACAAACCACTGAGGGTGCCCAGCTTTGTCTGACCGACTAAAACAGAAACAGTACAAAAGAAACAACATCTTGTCAATTCACATCAGTAGGATTTGCATGGCATATAAGTACTGATTTTCATTTTGGTTAAGGACTGTACCATTAGACAGGAGGAGGTGGTCTCACATTTTCAAAAAATTAAAGATTTAAGATTCAATCAGAGATATTGGATGAAGGGAGATACCCCACCGTAGGCTTATCCAATGTTAAGAAAACGGTTACTCTTCCTGTCTCCTAAGTGGGTGTGGTTAGCTCTCCCTCCAATCAGAGCCTGTTCTCCCTCAACCTTAACCTCAACCCCCCCCCCACGTTGAACAGAGGGTCTGTGGATGTCTGTGTATGCGGATCGAGAAGCAGGTGGAATGAAAATACATTCTTCCTATTATTGCAGCCTATTGTTGCACAAAGCTTGGGCATTTTTTATTTATTACTAGCAGTAAATAACTGTTTGTAAGCTAACTGTGATTTTACCGCCTGTTTATCAAGATCACAAGATCTCGCGAGAACTTGTTTTCTGAGACAGACAGGGCTCAAACAAAGTTAACTTTCTCTTGATCTGTGCGGATGAAAAATGCAGCTTTAGTGTCAGAATGTTGGTAAGATGTGTGGCTTGTGTAAAACGAACCTAATATTTACTGACTATAAGGCGAAAGAATTGACCATAAATTGTAATCACGTTCATTTTCCTCATTGACGACAATACATTCAGAGCTGCCGCAAGTCTCCTACGGGGGCGTGGCGCTGACGTCACTGAATCAGGAAGTGAGCTGAGTGGGGTATCTCGCTTTATCCAATATCTCTGATTCAGTCCCCTTCCCCACCCCAATAATTTATGTACTCTCCCTTAAAGAGAATTCCAATATGTCAATTCCATGGCTGAGTAAAGTTCAATCAGTATTTGTGAACATGAGCTACTCTCTCTCAAAGTCAGAAATCAGAGAAGTAAGTCTCAAACTTGTGATGTCACAGGGTATAAAGTCTAGCACTGCTCCCCAATTGATGGGAGCCTAGTTTTGTGGAAGCACAAAATGTTTGTTTACTTTTTATACCCAAATGAGCTTTATTCTATTGCAGTGGTTTCAGTTCTGAAACAGAAAACATACACATATACTCAGAACATTCCCCTGGGTGCTCTCAGTGTCATCATGGATTTGGGAAAGGGTTGTTTGTGTTTGCCTATATTTTTTGGACTACCCTAAACCATAGGAAAAACATGTATGAATTTTAAAAAATGGGCGTAGTTCCCCTTTAATACTCCATAGATCCAGGTGAGGAATACTGAAGGCCTAAAAGCATGATTTGCTACAGTTCCTTGTAATTAATATCTCAACCCACTTCATAATAAACTTTGTTCATGTCACACTGAAATAAAAGGTAGAGGCCACCAATTTTACAACACACACCGAGGAGACCTTTGCATAGCATGCAATGTGAAAACCTGTAGAGATCACTCAGCACTCCTCTCAGACAACACGAAGCTACATCATAATACAGTAATAAAGTGACTGCAATTTGCATGTGGATTTTCGAAGCATTAAATTGGCTTGTAATGATAATTTCTGAGTTTATTCTCATACCACCAACCTGCAGTAGAACTGAGAACCATCTTTGGCGAGGAACCCATCGTAATGTGCGTTCATCAGATCTCCTCTTTTACTCTTTGGAGTGCACTCCTCGGGCTTGAACAAAACTTCAATCTTGACCTCGCCGTCCAGCTCGGCTGCTGTCGCCCAAACACACCATAAACTGAGCTGTGAAGAGACAAAGAGGCACAGTGTGCAGCTCACTAACCTCCACATCATGCCGCTGTGTATGCGTGGCAACTTCTGAAAAGTGACGTTTGAATACACCGGAGGACGTGGAGAGCTGCTGCAGACAGTCAGGGACCTTACTGCCCTAAATTCTGACTGTCAGGGGTTTCTGCCTCCGGTGCGTCCCGCCTCCTTCACTAAAACCAGTGCCGTAAAACTAGCTCCGGCCCTCCTTCAAACATCGCTCATTGGACTGGAGAAGCCTACTGGGGGCGGTAGACCGCCTGAGTCTGCCTGACAGACTAAACTAAGGAAAAACTTCCAACATCTGCCGTGATACTGTAGATACTGTAAATGAGTAACTGGAAATGGAAAATATGTCAAAATGTGAAGATTACTGCATACATGTGACTGCTGTAAAACTAAATCTGCAAAATAATTCTGCATCTTAAGTCTTGAGATTCATTTTTATCATTTCATACCAGTATATAAATCATCCAGCCTACAATGTATTTCATCTGCTTTTGTTTTTTTGCTTACCCCACGTAAGGTTAGTTATATTTTTATAAAATTACAACAGCACAACATAATGCCAAGGGGATAGAGAAGTACTTTGGATAAAAAAAAAAACATTAAAATGAATAATAAATAATACATACATAAATACAGTACAGACACAAATGTAGTGAGCTGTGTATGCCTGGATTTATAGTCCCAGTATTGGTACTGCCACTTTGAACTTCACTAATGGTGTGATGAGATAAAATTGTCTCCAGTTTGGTAGATTACCCATTTAAACAGAGCAAAAATATAAAATGCGGAACATTTGGTAGGTGTCAGAGGAAACTGACTTCATCAAACATGTCTGTTAATCAAAATGTAACAAAAGGTTAGGTTAGGTGGGTTAGGTGGGTTAGGAAATATGGGCAGGGGGACCATATTTTGAAAAATGGGCCCCTTATTCCTGCAAATATAATATATATAATCCAGTTAATCATATTTCCATATGTATTTTGCTTCTACTCTGTGTTAAGACCTTATTTTCCTTTGTCAGATGGAACGCACCATTTCACAATACCTTATTGAGAAGATAAATGTCTGTAAGTAAATAGTTGTACTTGATCCCATTCATGCCCCCTGACCTTGGGCTGGGGTCATCTGTACCTTTTGACCCCCCTTGACGGTGGGCCTAGGCAGATTTTTAAAAACAAATAATTTCAATTTACCTCTTCAGGATGTACCTGACATACCACTACATGAATAATAGTTTACAAATGATAATTTAAACAAAAGCTAATGCAAGATCTCATCATGTTCAACAAAGGATAGATTACTGAACACAGTTTGTAAAAGCTTTGTCATATCCATGACGTTTATAGCCAGAGCCTGGAAAAGTCTATATTAACGATTCAATGCATAATTCACTCACCCTGCCGTCCAAAAAGAAATAATTGATTGACACTAAGACGCTCCAATGGCAAACTTGAGAGCATCATGAATTATGTTTAGACGCGGACGTCATCTCATCTTCACCAATAGCAGCCGCGGGGGCGGAAACATTAGCTTCTATTTATTTTTGGACGCCTGCGTATCTGAGTCATCGCCGCTCAGACAGTCAACGTGGTTGGAGATTGTCTTTACCGACCATACACTAGCTACTAGTTATATTTGGAACTACGACTTTCTCTCTTATTGCCTGATAGGATTGAGATGTTACAATTTAGGTTTTCGATAGTGCTGAAGGAGTTGTTTGAAGCCACCCTCAAGCGTCCCTTGTCCGGCTCTAGACAGAAGACCTGGTTACCGACCCGCCACTGCTGCTTCAGCACCGCCTCCGTTGATGCCAGAGCTGTCTCTCCTCAACTGAAGGTCCTCCATGCCGCTCCTCACCGCCCGGCGCTCCGCGCCGCGCCCTGTGCCGCCCCGTTCCGCTCCTACTGCACGAAGACCGAAGGCGCTGTGGAGCTGGACGAACAGCTGAAAAAGGACGGTCTCGACAGCGAAGCAGCCAGTGACAAGTACGTCTCAAGTTCTGTCTTGTGGAATAAACTGTCTGACACCATTTTTTGCCACGGTATAATGGTATGGCTGGCGCTTGTGCGAGTAATGACGCAGACAGGCGCAAGCGGATGTAACGTTATTCCCCAACCGTCACAAACGCAGTATTAAAACCGCATTGAATAGCACTTAATAACTATATAACTAACATTCTTACATGTCAGATAGAGGTATTGCTTACAGACAAAATAACGTCACCAAAAGACGTGTGATATATAAGCATATAGCTAGCTCACTGTAATGGCCTCATAGCAGCAGCTACTAGAGCATGTGTGACTTGCTCATACCGGGTGCAGCCTCCGGTGGCTTTGTGCCAAGTAGACATATAAATACGCCACCTTCAAATACCGACACAGCAACTTAACCAGAAGCTAATTAGGAATTTAGTTGGTCTTGACCGGGTGAATGTAACGTTAGGTTGGCTATGGGTTCCTGTGGAGATGACACGCAGCATGGTGCAGTAGGTTAGAAAGTGAAACAGCAGTGGCCTCGTTACAGGGTCAGGGATGAAGTGGAGTATAAAAAGATCCACATTCAAGTTTTATCAGGGAGTTTTTCCACTTACAGAGTTAATGAGGCAGCTGATGACCACAATACAAAAAAGACCTTGATTCAAACTATGGCCTCATAAATGTCATTGAATGACACCAAACATATAAACGTATCTTTATCTTTACTTTAACTTTGATGGTTGGTTATAATAATGTCTGCTGCCTGGCTGGATACCAGTCTGTGTGACTGGTTTTGTGCCTTCTGCTGGTTAATGAAGTGGCCACAGATGGAGTGCTGCTCTAGACTACTGACTACAGCACTGTACAGAAGAGCTGCAGAAAGTGGAAAAACAACTAAAACTAGTTAAGCCTGTGTGTGGCTTCAACTGCTTCATGTGACACACAGAACACATAGTAATAAAATGTATTGTTTAAATGTGTTATGTTAATCCATTGTAGTTTCCATGTAGTTTTCCTCTTAATTGCATGCCTACTATTTCTTGCATATTTGCTCTTATTATCATTCCCTGGTATATTTTTAGTTTTTATAAGGACTTGAGAAGCACTGCCATGTCTGTATGGTGCTGTAGACATGAAATTTAAGCTGCCTTGCTATGCAAGTGAATGCTCCTTGTCCAAATTGTACTATTTGTCCAAGTCTTTGCAGTCATCTCTCACTATTTAGCTGAAATTTCTGTCTAAATTGCATTTGGCATATGTAATTACAGAATAACGGAAATCCGCAGGGTTGAAGATAAACAAATTAAGGTCAAAGCAATGTATAAGGATTGTACAACTACGAATATTGTTAACAACACCTTTCAGAATACAGAATTTGGAAATTCAGTAACAAGGTATTTTTTCTACTCAGTTCAAATGGTATTATAGAGCTGTACGGTCTAAAAGACCGTAGGCAGTCTCCTATCCCATGACATACTGTAAAGCATGTTTTTAGCCCAAAGCCCATTACATATTGAAGTCAGCTGCTTAGATATCTAAGTGAATGTATGTTATTAAGAATTCTTGTAACCGTATGGTAGTTTGGCAAAACTATTGATTAGGATTCATAGGATAACTTTACATTACTTTTCTGTTTTGTTGGCTTTCTCAAATTGCTCCATTGTTCACTACTCTTGGGTCAGGCATAAAATGAATGGTGGTTTTGGAAAGTACATTTCACATTTCACATCCTAGTCCTTGCAGCCAGCTGGCTCTCTGTACAGTAACTGCAGTCCATGGCGGGATCCCTTTGAAGCTAGGCAGTTTTATGAGCCAGCTCAGTGTAGCCAAAAATTATTGGGATATTTTCTGACCTAGAAATGAGGCTACGCAAGAATAGGGCAGTTCCATCAGTAAGATATGAACTGGGGTGTTGGATTTGCTCTGCCAATGTAAATGCTGTGCTCCCAAGTCTGCTTTCACATACCCAGAGTCCTCCCTGGGTCAGTAGGTTTCCAGTCTATAATGACTCTTTTCCACCGAAGTAACATAGCGAGACTTTAGACAGTGTGTAGTTCCAGTTTTCTACTTTTCCTCACACTTTGAGGACGATGTTGTGAAACTAAATTTATTTCCAAATTTCTCAGAAGGTGATGCTGAATGAATGCACCACCTCACATGGTCTCATGGGGAAGCAGTAGATGTACAAAACAGACTGACGTGGTGTAACAACTTGCTGTAATGTTAACAATGGAGTCTGGATGAGAAAATAGTTGGGGAGACACGGTCCACATAGGTTGTCTATTATTCAGCATCAACTGGAGATGGAGATTTAACCGTCAGTTTTGATATCTGTCAACAACATTATGCTAGCTAATGTCAAGGAAACAGAAGGAAAGATCATGACGTCAGTAACAGCAATCAAATTTTGCATTGGAGCCAGAGTTTGGTGTTGATCCCACTCTTCTCCTGTAATGAAGGACAGAGCCGTGGAAGGATTTTTCAGTCAAAGTAGACACAACAAAGATATTATGGGATATAGTGTGATTTGCCCTGCCTTCCCCATTGACTTAAACAAAAGTGGCATCAAGCTCTGGATGCAAAATTTGAATACGGTCACTGACGTCATGACCTTGCCTTCTTTTATAGTTTCCTTGGGTAACGTTAGCCTCAAGGGCTAGAACGCCGTCAGCTGCTCCCCACTGATGAAATCATAATTGTAATATCCAGATTTTGAATCCTAAATATCAAACATGTTTGAAATTATTGGGTTGGCCTTAGTGAGCCTGATAGCAATTCAGGAGGTTTAAGACTGGATCTGTAAACCTCTTTTATCACCAGATAATTTGAGCCAAATATCGGTACTGACCAAGGTCCCAGATCAGATTTCTACACCAGTTGTTGGGAGGGGTGAGTCTGAAATAAAAACTCCTGCAGTTTGAGCCTGGCTTTAGGGAAAGTCCCAAGTGAAGTCAAATAGAAAATGGTTATGAGTAGGAATGCTGCTTGTGTCTCATCCTGCTGTCACGTGGCCTCTGAGTCATCGCAGAACAGTCATCTTTGCACTAAGCTTGTGGTATGTTGAAAATTGCATTTTTCTTCTTTACCTTAAGGGGTGAACAAACCATGTGTCCTCAGCAGAGCCTAAAGTGGAGTATTTGACTGTGCATATGCTCAGGATGATACTATCCTTGGAAACTTACTGTTGTCAATATTCAGGATCAGTTTTGAGATATATATTTTATGGGTCAGCAGCACAAAAAGAAGTGTTGATGCACGTGATGGGGATGTTGTTAACATCAGATTTCTGATGATGACTCAAGATAAATCTAAGAAGGAAATACAATCCATGACTCACATTCCATTCTGTACATTGTGCAACACTCAGTATAATCTCTGTCTCTGATTCCTCTATTTTGAAATTGAGCATATTAGTTTTTTAAACAGCAGGGTTTAGTTTTAAAGCTGTAGTCTGAGCTGTAAGATAATAGTGAATTAAGGAGCAAAGGCCTAACCATTGACGCTGCTGCTTGGTAGAACTGACAGGAAAATACACTGCTAAATTGCCTTTTTTTTATGAAGGCCTCACAGACATGTTGAACAGTAAAAGCACCCTTGGCTCACAGCCGTCTGCCCTGAGATGTTTATGGGATCAGTTATAGTTTTAGTGAGTGGAGGAGGACAGGATAAAGATATCAAACACTGACAAATGACTGTTGTGATAAACATGACAGAGACAGAAAGTGAAATACATACTTGATGTTAAGCTCTAGCACACTGCCTACTAGTGAAGTGTGTTGTCACTGATGTGACCCTGCCAAAGATATCGCCACACACTGCAGCTTTTCTAGACTCTTTTCTCCATCTCAAAGTTTGGGTCCATACTGTCTCTTTTTCACATCATTCAATCTATAGTTAGCATTTCTTGGGCCTGCAAAATATCTGCACTATCCACTATTACTCCTGGCCCCTGTGTCTCCTAAAAGATGATTTTTATGCACTTTAAAAAAAAAAAAAAAAAAAAAAAAAGCCAGCTCAGAAAGCTGCAGAGAATGTAATGTAACGTTGTTAATGTAATCAAGCATGTTAAGATGGTTACAGCCCTTATATGAGGTGAGTTGAAAGATAAAGTCCTGTATGAATAATAAAATACTTGCCCTTAATACTTCACACCGCAACCCCACAGAACTATAACTCCTTCAGAGCAAATCACAACTCCGTTTTTATCACGTATCCAGGAAACTCTGAGTGTTCTGCTTACACCAGTGAGCAGTCATCCAGAAGCAAATGGACCGAGCCATCTGCCTGTGAAGAGGAAGAGGATTTTTAAATGTACCAATGTACACTAGAGAGTCGAGGTGTTTTAGGCTGTATTCACATCTGATTTGTTTGCACAGTTTAAACAGCCCCTGGCTCGTTTGCTCATTTAGGTCAGTTCTTGTCGGCTGGTGACAACTGAGAATATCAAACGCACCATCCACAAGAGCGTGTGATATGGATGTGTGGCACATGGTAATTCTGCCATCTGCTCTAACAAGTTGCATTAAGCTGTCAGTATGTATGACGTAAAGTTTAGTTGCAACATGTTCATTACAAACAAGCATCTTTGAGTAAACTCTTCACGATTGTAGTGCAGACTGACTTGCTGTTAATCACAGAACAAACTTTCCTGTTGCTGCTTAAATTGTTTGTTTGTTTCCCCTGAGATTCTATGAAGTGCACTGACCATACAAGAGGAGCCACAGAAACTGTCCAGTAAAAGAGTTACTGGAGTTAAACAAAGGCGTTTTCAGATCAAACAGTTGTGGGGACTCCCTGAGAGGAACCGTATACTGGGGTGCTCCCCCGAAAGGCACATACCTTTGAGGGTTTTTTTTTTTCTCAGTTAGCATCCCCTATACGGTCAGTAAAGCCTGGACATCACTGTCGGTCAATTTGTTTGTTTTTCATCCATTTCTTTTGTTACGAGTTGTTGTTTGTGGGGGTTTTTTAGCTGTTGTTTACACAACTAACAGGTTTTTAATAATTGT